CCCCCCCCCCGGAAAAAAAAGGAAAGGAAAGAATGTGCTAAATGTAGGTATGTCATACTTATTTTTGTATTCATATGAAGCGGAATTTATTCGAAAGCTTAATGTGCGTGAAAAGAAGAAAACACTTGCTGTGGCCTTCAATTCGACATTTAGATATATCGACGACGTATTGTTAATTAACACATATGGAGAAATGGTGTTCATTCTGCTCATTTACATATTCGCCATATTGGAGCTATAATGGCGGCAGATTCTAAAAAGGATTATATAGAGAACTTACAAAAAATTGCCAATTTTTATATTCTTACTATATCGGATAAAGTTCTTCCACCGATCTTTTGTTTTTTCTTTATATCCTTTACCGGAAATAACAATAATGTTGATGCCAAAGTAAAAGTTGCGACCGCCTTTTTTATTTGAAAATTCGAAGCGAGAGTACAATGTTTTATTGAAGAAAAGATAATTGAATTAGTTTTTATCATTTTTGGTGATTAAATGTAAGTGTTTATTGCATGATGACAGAGTTCTTCCGCCGATTTATAGGTGCAAACGAAGGTCTATTTTTAGAAAATATTGCTGTTATAAAATTGTACGAAGAGTTACGACCGCCTTTTAAAATTAAAAACGGCAATTTTTTGCATTCGCCTGACCTATACGGTATCATTAATCGCCAACCGACGATAACGCTAAATTCTACCCATTTAGATATGTCGAGTGCTTAAAGAAATTTAAATAAAAAAGTCTTGCATGTTTTTATATTAAAAAATTAAAGAAATGGTATAATTTGAGTTTTTGCAGGATCATATGAATATTAATGAGAAGTAAATCACGCGGGAGCAACCTCATGAATAAACTGCACGTCATTTCTCCATATGAATTATTGTAATTTCCATTCTTATGTCGATGCGATATATCCTGGTGAGCTTGAGATAAAAGATACCACAGAGTTTGACACATCTAGCTGTTTCACATTTGAATATGTTACTTGAAAAAGACGTTAAGGGTATTCTAACGACCAAGCTCTGATATAATAGTTTGCAGTTAACTGTGAAGTTTTGCATTATGTCACGATCTTTTTCGTCAGATGCATCCAGAGTAAGCAATTCATGTGATTGGTCAACTCATATTATCAACATTGACATGGAAATAGTCTGTTGCACTAGCTACCAATCAGGGATAAGAAGAAAGTTCCAGTCGTAAAGCTTGCAGTTAGGAGACGTGTACTATTTACCTTGAGCGCAGCTGTCAAATAGATTGTGAGTAACGTAACGTAAAACTTCACACTTAACTGAAAACAATAATAAAAGTGATGACTTTAAATTTTCTATCGTCAACCTCCCTGACTTATGAAGTAATATACCTTCATCACCTGTACGTAGTTAATATATCTCAGTTGATTCGATACGCAAGAGCATGCTCTGCGTATGAACAATTTCTAAAACGAGGTAAATTATTGACTATCAAGTTTATGCAACAAGAATATCAACAGTCTCGTTTAAAGTCGTCATTTCGTAAGTTCTATTGTCGATACAATGACCTTGTCAGCATTACAATTTTTAATTGATTCAAATGCTGACTGACGTTTTCCATGCTAATCGTTAGTCCATTATTTATACAGTGAATTGACGACGGATTTTCCCGTTATTTCCCGATCATGACAATGAGCACACTGCGGGTGTGACCGGTCAGCAGGGGGATGCTCACTCCTCCATGGCACCTGATCCCATTTCTGATGTTTTAGAGATCCGTGTTTCCTCTGCTCCTATTTGTATTGTTTTATGGACTTTTGATCTTGAATACTGTTCGTTATATTTACATATATATCTTTCATCGTTCAAATGACACACTCCATTCCACTCCACTCCACTCAATTCTATACTAGTCCACATCATGTTGCCCATCGTCAAAACAGCAGTTACGTAATATGCGCACTATCACGCATCTGGGTAAAAGGTTGCAGAGAATCGAACGGAGAAAAAAAGACAGGCTTAATTGTTTGCTCACAAAGTAAAGAAATGTTTGCAATTTAACTACTTGATCCGAGCTGTATAGGGGAGTAGCATTTTGAACATTTGTTATGCCCCGGGTCGGGGGGGGGGGGGGGTCAGGACCCCCCCCCTGGAATTTCCAGGTTATTAAATTTATATACAAAAGCAAGAAAAAAGTTAACTTGGACACCCCCCCCCTCAGAAAACGCAGACCCCCCTGGTAAATGTGAACTTGTATTAAATATAAATTGGTCTGAAAAGTTAAAGATTTGAAGCATAAAAAGTCTTCGCCTACCCACCCACCCACCCCCATCCCCCATGAAATAGGATTTTGAAATTTTGACGACTTTAGGTTTTTTTTTTTTTTTGCTTGTCAAGAAATTTCTTCTGGATTGAAATTCTTTTTTGACAGGGGTGGACCCCCCCCCCCCCCTGGGTAAAATTTCTGGATCTGCGCCTGTTTGTCATGTTCGTCTTCAGTCGTTTTTGAAAGTGGGGGGGGGGCAAAGAAATTTTTTTTTTACTTACCTGAAAAAGTAAAAAAAAAAGATAATGAGGAAAAAGTTGCCCAAAGTCGAAAATCCTATTTCGTGGATGTGTGTGTGTGTGTGTGTGGGGGGGGGGGGGGGGGTAAGTTTCCTTTTTCTCAGTGTTACTTTTAGTACCAATTCTAATATCACTAAAAGTGCATGGGGAAGGGGGGGCAACCAGGCTTTCTATTAACATTTCCTATATTACATGTGTAAGTAAGGTTGGGAAAAAAAGTGGGGGGTCAGCCCCCCCCCCCCCCCCACCCCCCCCCCCCCCGTTGCTACACCCTTGTTCCCTTGTTCGATACAACGTTATTGTCATTCAACAAACAAAATCTATCATTACGTCGAATGCTGACTTAAGTTTTTGTATTAATCATTAGGCCATTACCCCCCAGTCATAACGATCATGAATACTGTACGTCGCGGGTTAGAATACACTGCTAGACACGGAGGCTGTGAAACTGAAAACGTACACTGTATATAGAAAATAAATGTTTAATTAAATTGTGCATTTATATATGTTGAAAAGCCGTTCGGGCCCCTTGATTGGTAAATAAAATATCTTGTATCTTGTAAATATGGATTTTAATTAATAGTATATTAAATTAATTGACAGGGAGTCGCTCTGATTTTTCAGGGAGTAGTCCTCAGATGGGGGAAATAGTCTCTTCTCGGTGAAATAGACAGACCTTTATATGGTATCAATTATATAGCGTAATAACATTAGATGTATAATTAAGTATTTTACAGCACTTATTGCATGTGGAGAAAGGGAAAAAAATTAAATAAGGTGTTTTGTCGTTTTTCTAATATTTCCACATTCACTTCGATAGAATATCGCTTTAAATTGATTAAAAAAAATTAATGACACTATTTCAATGTTGAATATAAAAATAACATCGACTTCAATAGTGAACCGTGTAAATATCGTGTTAAAGTTATCTATATGTATCTTTACACGCATTTACCTTATCGGAGATCCTTGATAAATTCGGGAATTCCAGTGTCAACCACCTTGATTTTATGACATGTTCTTTCTAAACTTTCTTTTGGTAGTGAATATCCTGGTAAGCATTTTAGATAATATTGTATTTCAGTTACGCCAAGGACTTTTCTAACAATGATATTTTAGCGGATCTTTAAGTTGCAAAAATGATTTTATACAACTCATTCACCATGTATGAAGACACATATAGGATATGCCCCAGCCCATCATATATTCCTTTTACTCTCAGTTCAGAATAGTTTTGCTGTTTGTATATACATGTAAATGTAGTATTGAACATTTTTATCGAAATGTTATTGACAATATGATTAACTCTCTTATGTTAGTGTTCCCAATGCACAATTCCTTGGCATTATGTATGCTAGAGAGTTTGATGCTAAAGAGAAATTTTGGTTGTGGTTAGATAGGGGTGGGGTATGTTTTTATTAATGATAATTTGATAAGTAGGGACGCCTCATATACGGAACGAGAGCCTGACAGGTGATTCTCAGACCAAAATTTAACCCGTGACCTCTGATGGAAAGACCCCAGATGATGTGGTTGATTAGGTTTTAATATAACACTGTATAATTTATCATAATAAATACATGTTGTTAAATTTGGAGTTATTGTTCAAGTCCAGGTCCAAATCCAATCTCTACCCAGAGTTGTCGTTCGCTTCGCTACAACTCTGGGTAAAGATTGGTCCAAATCAAGTACACGTAAATATGAAGCAATGCGGTAAGACTCAGTTGGACCTGGAATAAATTCATATCTTTAGGGTCTTATTTTTTTTTAGGTTTTTATTCATTCTGCCCATTCACAAAATCTCGATTGGTACAAATGCCATCCGGAATGTGGTGTAAATGAGTGCTGCCTCCATATCTGGAACGATTTGGGGAAAAGGGGGTCATATGACGCCATGTCATTACGTCATCGGAGAGTGACCAATTACTGCGCTCCTCTGTTGGTGGAGAATGACGTCTGCTATGTCCAGCACGCGATAGAACAATGTCCATGTGCTCATGGCTTGATCTGTGTACCAGACGGTGGGGAATTCGGGAAATATCATGGTCGTTGTAGACCTGGATAACTGCATATTTCAATTGCATACATGTATTTTATGTGAAGAGTTTATTAAATGGTATAAAAAAGTTTCCTTATTCATTGATCCTAACAAATACTGTATTTTTAAAATATTAAAGCCATACATTTGTTCGTTCAGTCTTATCACTTCGCTTTTTGACATACACTTTAATTATATAACAACTCAAACATTTATTAATTTTTGAGCCTTTATTAAAACAAATATAAGCATAAGTATCTAGTCATCAAACAACTGATAGCCTGATGGTTCAGCTGTCATAGCATTAGAACTCTCCAGCATTGGAGGTGGGTTTAGTACCGTGGGATTGTAGGACCATTTTGGAAACATTCTCTTGTACAAGTTCATCAACACTGTGTCCTGCGATTTCAGATGTCCATCAAACACACACTTCATGTGACCATGGGTTCCTGTTGATAGAAATAATATAAAATTTACCCTCACACAGAAAATCTAAATACAAAGATCAATAAGAAAAGTTAAATTCAAAATTTCTTGCAACAAATATCACAAATAAATTGAAAGAATCTAGTGACACACAAAGTTTCTTTATATTAAGTAATTTAAAATTTCACATACTCCAGAACGTACAAGTTTGACTTTAATATGTAGTACTGCATGTATTTGACCTTTATGTATGAACTGATTGTGTACAAATACAGATTGAAGGAATTTTTTACAAACCTAGAGGTTCCCTGATGTGGCCTCTTCTTCCCCATTTCGTGCGGAGTTCCACAGGTTTGAACCACTCAATATCCTCTGTAAATCAAACAAAATAGATAAATCAGTGCACTGCAAATTTAATAAATGTTCCTGATACATGTAATTCTGCTCACAGATGCATACGAATTGAGGGGATGATTAAATGACATGCAATCACTCTCCAAGGAAATACATGTCCTTGTATGCATTTGTTTTCCAAGATATACTGTAACGTTTTGTTTTTAGGTAGATATAGATGTGTACACAATTTGTAGCATAATTATTCATTTTTCCAAATCACAAAATGCCTTCAGAGAAGTTAAGCTGATGGTTTTTTGTTTTACTCTACTGTAAATTCCAAGAATCATCTTCAATCCTATATTTTCCACTGAGATTCTTTACACCTTTTAATCTGACACCCTGTCCATTCTGACAAAACATTTGTCTCCAAGAGCATGTAAGAGTAGATATTTACATTCAGTGTGGTTTTCCTTATGAAATTCATTAGAAATCCACGACGTTCAAATTACTATAACACACGCGAAACCTTGTCACCGCGCGTTAGAATACATAGTAGGAACTATATGCAATTTCAATACTCTAGGAACACCAAAATGTAAAATATTTTACTTCAAGTTAATGAAAAACTATAACCCTGAAAAATTAACGTAAAAATTAACGTAACGTGCGTTAAGAATTAATTTGTCACTTTTTTCCTCGCAATGTTTGTTTGCGTAAGTTAACTTTGCAACGTCATTTAACGTCATTTGACGTCGCAAACGGCTCTTACATCTATTAACCACGGCAGTTTTGAAAGGCGCTAAATTCACATTAAAGATTAACGAAATAAGCAATTATGAAGAACAAAAATTAAAGAATGTAAATATAAGCATTGAATTCATATTTTTGTCTGTCTTCGGTCCTATAACACACCTGGCCGTGCCGACAAAGTTTATCATACCGCGCTAACGTGTGGTATTCAATTTGTCGGCACGGCCAGGTGTGTTATAGGACCGAAGACAGACAAAAATATGAATTCAATGCTTAAATACATGTAGATTTCACTGTACTATCAGTGCAGATGTCATGGACCACTCACCTCTGTTGAAGAACATGTATCTGACGACAGCTGACCGTTTGTTGATTTTGAAGGGATGGCCACTGAGTACGATACGTTTGGTGATGATTCTGTCGGGATCTACCGAGTGTAAGCTTCCCGTAGCTACTAACTCATGCTGACCTATTAATGATACATAAATACAAAACATCTGTGCATGGTGAACATTGAAATTTAAACAGGTATATACTCACTTCAAAAGTCTTCTCTATACACATGCAACTATTATTCTTATTGGTGCAATACAATGAGGAATATCTCACCATCATGTTGTTCTTTAAACACTAGGACAGGACATGGAGGAAAAGATATTGGCGCAAAAATGGTAGCCATGGTGACGGTATCATGGGCAAAAAACCTTTCAAACTGCAACAAAATACACATCAATAAATTTTATACCATTTCAGAACTGATATCGAGTAGTATAAAGTGGCTATTTAAAATATATGTCAAGAACAGGCATACAATGTAAGGCACCTGGAAAATAAATAAATGTCCTTAGAAATAAGTTAAACCTGAATTCTGATCTGCTTACTGATTGGTTAAGAGATTGTGACTTGGTCCTGTTAAGTAAAGGCCATTGAAAATATATTATAACAATTCTGCTTAATGAGCAATATACTCCTTGGTTACTAACCTTGTGTTTGTTAGCATTTGTGTGCTGTGAGAAAATCGGACATGCAGAGTATCTCCGAAATCCAACATGGAAGATAAACCTGTCCTTGGACTTGATTGGTGGCCTGTATTCTGGTACCCGCCTCAACAGGAAGTTAAGAACAGACATCTTGTGTTCATGTGGCAGCAGGCCAAAAATCACAACAGGTGTGCCAGGTTTATAGGATGCTGAAATAAAGATGAGTCTACCAGTCTGAGTCAAGATGACTTCATATTTAAATGGTTGATTAATGATATTAAATCTTAATATTAAAAACTCAGAGCTCTCTTAACTCTCAAGTCGGGACATTTTGATAAATGCTGATTGATCTACTTACTTATAAAATCTTTTGGCACATTGGAAATATGGATTTGTATATACCAGCCACTCTATAAATATATTAAATTCGTAAAAAAAATTAATTTTTCAATCATCACGAATCAAATTAATAGATACATAAACTACTATAAATTCTTAAAATCATGGTTTCCAGTATTTATCAACATTTTGACTTACCATGACTCCCTCGTCTTCTAAATTCTTCAAAATCCTCTTCTTTGTCCTTTTGAAATCTTTAAATTGGAAAATCCTGGCGTAGTCCGAGGGGAGATTTTCTTTAGGATCCCAAGGGGAGGTTCTGAAACTCTTCAACCCCCGATACCTGTGACAGGGGAAAGGAAAGTTCTATCATACAGGTATGTATTCATAGTGATAGTAAGAATGCTTGGAATGAATATTTTATTAAACTTTTTTTACTTCCTCTATGCTAACAAGTAAATTCAAAGCAAAATGAAAAAAAAAAAATCATTTTCAAAGTTCAACAAAATTAACAGAGGTCTGTTTTTATGTTGATTTTTTACATAAATACAGCTTACTCCACTTATATTGAACTCGCTTATTTTGAAATTCCGCTTATATTGAACTAGAAATAAATCCCCAGTTTTTGCCTCTCATATTCTTTGCATTAAAATAACGGTTATATTGAAATCGGATATATTGAAATTTCGCTTATATTGAAGCCACTGATCGGTCCCCACAGGTGATAATGAGTTGTTTTCATAACGGTTATATTGAAGTACTCCCTGGCGGCTGTCGTTACGTTTGGTGACGGTAATTATGCCTGATTGACCTGGTGATATGCAAAGGTGTGAATAATTAAGTTTTCACCTTATGTGTTTTTATACTGCATGTTCTTACGAAATAAATTCTTAACTGTTAAATTCTTTGCGTCCATGTATATAATACGGACATATCGAGACTAAACATCTAACATAATACATGTACCCAGACAGCATGACTACGTTGGGCCAACGCTGGCTAAAGGTTGTACGGTTGGTCTTTAGTTGGCGTTGGGAAGACAATGTTGGGCCAACGTTGGACCAACGTTACCATGTGAATAACCTCTTTAGTACCCAACCATGTTGGGTTTCTTACGTTGGCCCAACGTTGGTCCAACATCAACTAATTTCGTTTCGTTATATTTTCTAATGAAGTTGGGGTTCAATGTTGGCCCACTGTTGGCCCAACGTTTGTAATGCAACCTTAACCAAACTGTCAACTTAATCTGGTAGCAGTATGTTGGCCCAACGTTGGCCCAATGTAAGCTTGAGTGTTTGTTTTAAGTGTTCTTTTATAGTTAGAATAAGTACATTGGGCCATTGTTGGGCCAACAGTTAGATTGCAAACTAAAGGATGATGTGCATGAGTTGGGGGCATTACATTGGCCTAATGTTGGCCCAGTGTTTGTTATACACTAGGCTTTTATGAAAAGATCATTAATTTCTTCCATAGCAATGAGACTAAACTCACTATGGTTTATTGATGACAATTATACTTTTCTGTTATTAGTATCCACTTCTCAAAAAATCTTCTCTATATAGTGTCTGTTTATAAATTTTGAAATCTTAATTATCTTAAACTTTGAGTGTAATTGTTAGATTTGTTTCTCTCGTATACAATTAACGAAAAGTCATTATAAAAGGAGACTAAATAAAAGTTTTTCTTACATTAGTTTACCCGGTAATATATAAACGACCGAATAAAAGTTAGCATAATATGGAAACTAAAAGTTCCCAGGGACGGGATGTGAATGACGCATAAATCAAGATAACCCAGCCAGCTTTATAATTGCATTCAAACAAAAGTTAGGCGAGTCGCTAAAACTGAAAGAGTCGCAGCAAATTTAAAACACCAAAATGTGGAGAGCTGTCAAGTTTAATTACTCACAGCTGGCTGATAAACTCAAAATGCAGAGGAAGTTACAGTAAGGTTGGGATTTTAAAAATTTGGTGCACACAACGGCTAACGGCGAAGTCCTAAAAGAAATGTAAGTAAAGTATTATTATATTTGAAAACTATAGCTACTTCTTTTATAAAATGATTCAGTTTATATGAAAGACATAATATCTTACATTGTATATCATGACGAGAAATGAAATAGATAAGAAAATTTCAGTATATATGGTAAGGTGTGTTTAATGGTAAATTCTTAAGTATTTAAACAGGGTTAAATGCATCATGAGTTAATCAAAAAAATAAATATTTCATCAATTTTCAAAGATATTAATATATTCACTTTTCTTAACAGCTATATATTGTTCTTAGACGGGGAAATGTGCTGTGTCAGTGTGCATTAATTTGCAGCAGATATAGAACTTCATACTGGTTCATTGATGACAATGAAGAAGGAGGAAGAAAATGGGAAAAAAGTGCATATGTGAAAAAACAATTGCAATCCGAACAAGACTAAAGAAGGACGTTTCAAATGCTCTTGGATTATACTATTTGTGTCTTTAAACAATATTTTACTGAAAAGAGGGATTGATAAAAATTGAAATTCAAATATTGCCAAGTTGTGTTGTGAACTTTAAGCTCCTTTATATTCTATAGTTATGGGATTTTACAAGTTTTTGTGAACAAAGGGATGGTTCTGGAATTGATGTTAGATGATGTTTGAAAGAAGATTGTGTTTGAAATTGAAATTTCAACTCCCTCATTATATTAAACGTTTTAGATTTGACTGTGTGCCGAATCCAGTCAATCGTAGAAGCAAGTGATGCAGAAGAAGTGTGGAGTATAAATCGACATCTTGAATACATTTTAAGGCAGAAACGTGAAAGCAAGACGTATTATTATTTATTCTTAAACTCTGTAAGCTTTGGCAAATGTTTTTGTTTAATTATTGTTCTAATATTGAAGCAAACTTAACAGAATTTGTTAGAAACTAACAAATAAATTGTACAGTTTATCACTCACTTTTTTCTTTTGCCTCATTGTCAACATTAGCTAGTTATTAATTTTTGTCAAGATGGCTTAATTTTGAATGGAAATCATTATTTATATAGGATAGGTTGGGCCTCTGTTGGCCCTACGTTGAAAAGATAACTATCCGTAAAATAATAATGGACCATTGTTTGACCAACACAGGTACCGGACACTGGACCCCCATTGAGCCACCGATGGAATGTTGGTGAACGGACGTTGGGCCATTGTTGGGCCAACACAAAAAGTACGTTGGGCCAATGTTGGGCCTTTGTTGATAAAATCACTGCTGGTAATTGACGTTGGGCCAATGTTGGGCCAACGTTGACCAAATGCTAACGTTGTGCCAAAACATGTTGGGCCAACGTAGGGCCGATGAGCAAACTTGCATTGGGCCAACGTTAGGTAGCCAACGTTGGACCAACGCAGTCAACAACTGTGCGCCAACGTTGGCCCAACATAGTCATGCTATCTGGGTATTATAATAGTAGCCCCCACAGATCTAGAAAAAAAAAATTTGAAATAAAATGCTTGCTGTTAATTTGCTAATTTTAGATCGGGATTGAACTTGTAAAAATGGCGGCTTCACGATTTCGCTTATATTGAATTACGGATATATTGAAATAATTTGCTTAGTCCCCTGAATTTCAATATATCCGGAGTAGGCTGTATGTGTAATAAAATCAAAATAAAAAAAATAATTTATACGTAAAAATATGATGTTATTTCAATACATGTACCTCTGAAATCGATCTCTTGCATCCTTCTCTCTTGGGGTGTCAATTTCATCGGGAAACATAACATGACTTCTCTCTTCTTTGATTTTCTCCAGTCTAAAAATATACCATAATGTATCAAATTACATTTCAATTAATTTATTTTTGAAAATTAGATTCTTACAATTTATGTTTTAAGTTTTTTTTGTTTAACTCTTTTATACCTTAATTTACTCTTATATCATGACCAAAAAAAGATTTGTATACATGAGAGCATTTTATATAGTATTATTTAAAAGAAAAATAAACAGGTGAGAAAAACTACTCACATTCTCTCTTCTTCATCCATGTCTATTGTCTGGTCATAATTAGCCACATCTCCAGCCTCTGTTACTGTCAACTACAAAGAACAATATCGGTCAAATCACAAATAAATCTAAATAATTGTCTGGTTATAGTTATAAAGCCACATCTCCAGCTTCTGTTACCGTCAACTACAAATTACAATATTGATCAAATCACAAATAAAGCTAAATAAAATCAAAGAACAAAAGGTTCAAATGTGTACCTGCTGAGCATGACATTGTATAGTGTAAATCCCTGCGTACCTGAACCCATGTACTTACTGAGGTATACAATGTAAATTCCTTTGTGTACTTACTGTGTCATACTCCACTTCCTCTCCTGATTCTGACCCCGAGGCATCAACGGCCATCATGTCTTCTTCCTCCATATCCTCATCACTGTCATCACTCTCATCATCATCATTTATCTAGAATGAGTGATGATTAAAACAATGTAGGAAAATCTTTACACCATCTATCAACTCTGTTCTGAGAAGGTCATAGAATAATACAAGGCTTAACAATACATTTTATGCAATGGTAGTCTTTTTTGATAAAATGAAATTAAAATATCATTATTCTACACTATAGACTGAAGTGTAATTGCAGTATTTGCCACTAAGAATGGATATATTAAACTTCAACTTCTTTTTATATGTCCTTTAAATCTCATGCTTGTATAAATAAGACAACCACTGGTGACCTCCCTTTGTGTGCAATAGTTACCTCCTCTTCCTCGCTGTCCACAATCCAGGAGGCCTGATATTCTGATGTCCCTTTAGGAACCCTCTTCACCAGTTTTGTCTTAGCCTTTAAAGCAGCTGTCCCAAAATAATTATATTAAAATCATTACCAGTACCAGTAAATAATGTGCTTCATAAGAACAAATTTCTTGAATTCATTTGTACTGTCATATTGCATGTACAATACAAATAAAACAGTTACAAAATACATGTAAGTTGAAATCATATTCATTATGTACACTCATTTTAAGGAATCTTGCAAATGAAATACTTTAATGACAAACAGAGGTTTTAGGGCAGTTCTTTTATTTAAAACAAGAGGCCCATGGGCCACATCGCTCACCTGAGAAGCTTTGAACATTCTGTTCTTTAAAAGATTTCCCCCTTGTAATACATATTGTGATCCCATCCTATCCCACTGATCATAATTAAAATAATTTGAAATCTACACTACCATACAATGCTTAGATTCCCCATTGTAAAACTTTGATTTCCCAATGTGGCCCGCCCTACCCCTGGGGGTCATGATTTGAACAATTTATAATTTACACTACCCCAGGATGCTTCCACATAAGTTTCAGCTTTTCTGGCCAAGTGGTTCTTGAGAAGAAGATTTTCAAAGATTTTTCCTATATATTTCAATGCTAAACTTTGATTCCCCATTGTGGCCCCGCCCTACCCCCGGGGGTCATGATTTAAACAATTTAGAATCTACACTTCCCAAGGATGCTTCAACATAAGTTTCAGCTTTTCTAGCCCAGTGGTTCTTGAGAAGAAGATTTTCAAAGATTTTTCCTATATATTTCTATGTAAAAATTTGATTCCCCATTGTGGCCCCGCCCTACCCCCAAGGGTCATGATTTGAACAATTTAGAATCTACACTACCCCAGGATGCTTCCACGTAAGTTTCAGCTTTTCTGGCCCAGTGGTTCTTGAGAAGAAGATTTTTAAAGATTTTTCCTATATATTTCTATGTAAAACTTTGATTCCCCATTGTGGCCCAGCCCTACCCCCAAGGGTCATGATTTGAACAATTTAGAATCTACACTACCCCAGGATGCTTCTACATAAGTTTTAGCTTTTCTGGCCCAGTGGTTCTTGAGAAGAAGATTTTTTAATGACCCCACCCTATTTTTGTCTTTTCTTGATTATCTCCCCTTGTGATGGGACTTGGCCCTTTATTTTTACAAGTTGAATTCCCCTTCACCCAAGGATGCTTTGTACCAAGTTTGGTCAAAATTGGCCCAGTGGTTCTTGAGAAGGAGTCGAAAATGAGAAAAGTTTACAGACAGACGGACAGCTAGACAGCTAGACAGACAGACGGACGGACGGACGACGGATAAAATGTGATCAAAAAAGCTCACTTGAGCCTTTGGCTCAGGTGAGCTAAAAACATTTGAATAAATGCCCCCTTTTTTAAAGGTACATGTACGTCCTAGAATGGATTCTCAACCAGACCTAATTTTAAATTCAACTTGTGAGGGATCAAATCAGACAAATACTTCAGGCTAAAGTAATTACTATGGATGCCTGACCTTCAGCCTCGGCCATCTCCTCCTCTGTGGGCCAGGTCTGCTCCCCCTCCATCTCCCCGGGGACGTTCTCGCTCTGTAGGGACTCCTGATGCCCCTGGACGGCCCTCTCCAGGACCCTGATGTCCTCAGTGTCCTCATCCATAGTATCCTCCTACAGCAGGTCAGAAATAAGAGTTATTAGCATCATCTGATGTCAGTAAACTTCAAAATGTCCAAAAATGTTCATTTTCATAAAAGTCAGTTTTCTAAGGCTTACAATCTACCTGTAAAAACTAAACAGAAAGATCTGCCTGAACTATTACTGCATTAAAACTATTTGATAATTGATTCATGTTTCTACTTTTTTTGTTTCTTTTATTGCATAAAAACAACTCTACTTTTTCAAAGAC